CGGTGGATTTTGGGTGCAGATTTGGGGATTTTGGGGTTCGGATTTTGGGATTTTTTGGGATTCTGATTTTGGGATTTTTTTGGGGTGTCCCTGGTGGATTTTGGGGATGTTTTTGGGATGTTTTTGGGATTATTTTTGGGGATATTTTGGGATATTTTTGGGATATTTTTGGGGGATATTTTGGGGATTATTTTGGGATATTTTTGGGGATATTTTTGGGATATTTTGGGGATTATTTTGGAATATTTTGGGGATATTTTTGGGATGTTTTGGGGATATTTCTGGGATATTTTTGGGGATGTTTTTGGGATGTTTTTTTGGACATTTTTGGGATATTTTTGGGGATATTTTTGGGATGTTTTTGGGATGTTTTTTGGGATATTTTTGGGATATTTCTGGGACGATTTTGGGATATTTTTGGGACATTTTTGGGACATTTTTGGGATATTTCTGGGATGATTTTGGGACATTTTTGGGACATTTTTGGGACATTTTTGGGACATTTTTGGGATATTTTTGGGACGTTTTTGGGACATTTTTGGGATATTTTGGGTGCCCCAGGGCACGAAGGCGCAGTACCTGGCGGGTTTTGGGTGCGGATTTGGGGATTTTTCTGGGATGATTTTTTGGATATTTTTGGGACATTTTTGGGATATTTTTGGGATGATTTTGGGACATTTTTGGGATATTTCTGGGATGATTTTGGGACATTTTTGGGGTGTTTTCGGGGTGTCCCAGGGCACGAAGGCGCAGTACCTGGCGGGTTTTGGTGCTGCTTTGGGGATGTTTTTGGGGATATTTCTGGGATATTTCTGGGATATTTCTGGGATGATTTTTGGATATTTCTGGGATATTTCTGGGATGATTTTGGGATATTTCTGGGATATTTTTGGGACATTTTTGGGATATTTTTGGGATATTTTGGGGACATTTTTGGGATATTTTGGATGTCCCAGGGCACGAAGGCGCAGTACCTGGCGGGTTTTGGGTGCTGATTTGGGGATGTTTTTCGGATGTTTTTTGGGATATTTCTGGGATATTTTTGGGATATTTCTGGGACATTTTTGGGATATTTCTGGGATATTTCTGGGATATTTTTGGGATGATTTTGGGACATTTTTGGGATATTTCTGGGATGATTTTGGGATATTTTTGGGGTGTTTTCAGGGTGTCCCAGGGCACGAAGGCGCAGTACCTGGCGGGTTTTGGTGCGGATTTGGGGATTTTTCTGGGATATTTCTGGGATATTTCTGGGATACTTTTGGGACATTTTTGGGATATTTCTGGGATATTTTTTGGGATATTTTTGGGATATTTTGGGGATATTTTTGGGACATTTTTGGGACATTTTTGGGATATTTTTGGGATATTTCTGGGATATTTCTGGGACATTTTTGGGACATTTTTGGGATGATTTTGGGACATTTTTGGGATATTTTTGGGATGATTTTGGGATATTTTTGGGGTGTTTTCGGGGTGCCCCAGGGCACGAAGGCGCAGTACCTGGCGGGTTTTGGGTGCTGATTTGGGGATGTTTTTGGGGATATTTCTGGGATATTTCTGGGATATTTTTGGGATATTTCTGGAATATTTCTGGAATATTTCTGGGACATTTTTGGGACATTTTTGGGGTGTTTTGGGTGTCCCAGGGCACGAAGGCGCAGTACCTGGCGGGTTTTGGTGTGGATTTGGGGATGTTTTTTGGGACATTTCTGGGATATTTTTGGGACATTTTTGGGATATTTCTGGGATGATTTTGGGACATTTTTGGGATATTTTTGGGATGATTTTGGGATATTTTTGGGATGATTTCTGGGATATTTTTGGGATATTTCTGGGATGATTTCTGGGATATTTTTGGGACGTTTTTGGGATATTTTTGGGATGATTTTGGGACGATTTTGGGGTGTTTTCGGGGTGTCCCAGGGCACGAAGGCGCAGTACCTGGCGGCCAAGGCCCTCAAGAAGCAATCCTGGCGCTTCCACACCAAGTACATGATGTGGTTCCAGCGGCACGAGGAGCCCAAAACCATCACGGACGAGTTCGAGCAGGT